ACCGGGTCCAATGCCCCCATTGGTCCCGGTTCTGGATTGAACCGGGACTAATGGGCTGGACCGGCCTGGACCATTGCCCCCTTTTCTACTAGTGTCCCTTCACCGGTTTTCTCCCTGCCGATTTTATCCTCATCTGGCCGGGCAAACCGACTCTATCTATAATTCACATACGGTAAGCAAACGCAATCAATTCATGCAAGGTAATACAAATCTGTTTCATAACACAATAACTCGATGACGGTGATCAATTTCCTTCCTTCCTTTCAATCAATTCCTTTCTTCTATCTCTTTCCTTCTTTCAATCTATTCCTTTTTTAAAATCTACCCTGATAAAATCGTGACTCAATCACCTCGCCTCCTATCAGATTGATGATTCCTTTTTTTACCTTGCCCCTTTCCTTCCCCTATCTCTCTCTTCCATCCTGAAAAATCGTGACTCAATCACCTCGCCTTCCCCTATCTCCTTCCCTCTACCTCTCTCTCGTCTCAACCGTGACGCAAGAGTCCCCGACCAAACCCTACCCCCTCCCCCATATTGCTTCTTTTCTGTAGCAACACGGTGGATCAACCGGTGGGCGGTGGCCAAGGTGTAGTATCGGCAGCGGGCCTAGGTGGCCTCGCAGCAGAGCGATGCCTTTGTTTCCAGCGTGAGAATCTTATATTTTATGCTTGGGTTTGAAGATTTTTTGAATGCTCTCCTTCACCTCCGATGATAACCGTGTTACCAGCTTGTTCTCCTTGCTGTCGGAGGTTGTTAATGGTGAAACACTCACCGTGTTTTGCGTTGGAGGAGCTCCTGTTGTTCAGATCATAACTTTTCAATTTTAATTCTTTGTAGAGTTGGGGTCTGATGGGCTAAGCGGCAAGTGCGGTTTCGAGGAAGACGTCAACAGCAAAGCTGCAAACGAGATGGGCAGCGGGAGCAGTGCAAGAATTCAAGCGGCGCAGCTCTTAAAGCTCGTCAAGTTATAGTTACACGTGACCTGGATGATATACGAACACATATCACACATGGACATGCATGGTGGACTTTTTCAATGGCCAACCCATCCATGGATGGACTCACCAGAAAAAAAATGCCATGGATTGATGGGTTGTCGTTCTGCTAGCGCTAATTAGTTAGATGATCGCTATGCTATGGATTGATGGATTGTCGTTCTGAGAGACTTTCACGAGTTACACGGAGAGAGGGAGAGATTTCATACGTAATCAGTCTTATGTAATTAATGTAATAGAGGTGGCAGTTTTTTATTGGGCGAAATTAGAGGAGGGAGGCCCACCCAATTGAATTCATGGGGTGGAGAGATTAATTTGGAAATACGTAATAGAAGAATGTTGGTGTGCGTAGCTGTAGCATTTTTTGATTTCATAGGAGAGAAAGATTTTCACAGCAGAAGAGAGAGAGAGGAGGGAGGGAGGGAGTTTTTTTTGACAAGTTATCACGGGAGGAATTGAAATAGAGATTAGAGAGAGATATTTTCACTACTAGGAAAAGGGTTATAGATGGGATTGACACTAATGGGGTGATGCGCCATTACTAAATACTAATGGCGCACCATGTGTAGGTGCGTCATTAGTGTGCAAATACTAATGGCGCACCACATCCCACGGTGCGTCATTAGTAATTTTTTTTTTCAAAACTACTAATGGCGCACGGCGGGTGTGGTGTGCCATTACTATGTTGACATAGTAATGGCGCACCACACCCACCGTGCACCATTAGTAGTTTAAAAAAACAAATAAAAAAAATTTGTTAGTAATGGCGCACCTGTGGACAGTGTGTGTGGTGCGCCATTAGTAGTTTAACTATCAATGGCGCATCACCCCACGGTGCGCCATTACTAACATGGCCCAAAAGTTCCCGAATGCACCCCCCGTGTATCGCCTTTTCAGTTTAAAAAAAAATAAAAGAAAATGATGGAAATGTCAAAAAAATAAAAGAAAATAAGTTTCTCATGTGATATGTGGTCTAGTTGTTGGGAAAATTTACAAATATGAATTTCGATTTTATTTGCAAAATCTCTCTGGAAATTTGTAAAATGGGCATAACTTTTGCATACGAACTCGGATGAAAAAGTTTTTTATATGAAAAATCATCTACTCAAAAAGTTACAGAGAGATTTCAAACTTACTAGTGGCGCACCGTGGTTGTGGTGCGCCACTAGTAACAGAAAAAAAAGTTGGTTTTGAAAAAAAAAATTGAATTTTTTTTTCAAAAAATGATACGTAATATGACCGGGAAGTTTGAAATATTTTTCAAAATTTCATCATAGTCATGAACATGAACAAAGTCCTAGACATCAACAAGGTATAATAGGATTGATATGCTAGATATATCAACAAGTGCCTGTGAAGTGAGCTGTTGCTAGGGTTGGATAGAACTCTGAAGTTAAGCGTGCTTGGGCTTGAGTAGTGTGAGGATGGGTGACTTTTCGGAAAGTTTGACCACGGAGTGCGATTTGACCTGAGATTAAGCATATTGACCCGAGATTAAGCCATAGTGAACTGAGATTAAGAAAAAAACGGAAAAAAAAATTTGAATTTTTTTTTATAAAAAATACCAGATACTAATGGCGCACCGTGGGCTATTCTAATGGCGCACCAGCGGGTGCGCCATTAGTATGCCAGATACTAATGGCGCATCACAGGTGCGCCATTAGAAAAAAAATCTAATGGCGTGGTGCTAGTGGCGCACCTGTAGTGCGCCATTAGTAGCGAAAACAGGTGCGCCACTAGCAGCCCTTTTTGTAGTAGTGTTTAACGGGAGTAATTGAGATGCTATCACAGGATCAATTGAGAGAGATTTACGGGAGAGACAGTAGGATTCGGGTGGGATACTGTGACCATGAGAGAGAGATTGTATCTATTTTTAACGTAATAGAATTGAGATTTAGTTTTGTTCGTTTTTTGAATAGGTTTTTAAAGTATACCATGAAATTGGTATTTAGAAGTATACAATGAGAAGTTAGACATATATACTTGGATTTGCATCACATAAATGTTTATTTATGCACAAAACTGGTTGTTGTAGTAATATCTACATACTATTGTTTCTCGGAATTTTGTTATAGCTGTAAGCACATAAATGTTTATTTATGCACAAAACTGGTTGTTGTAGTAATATCTACATTCTATTGCTTCTCGGAATTTTGTTATAGCCCTATGCAGGGACACTTGGTATGACAATTCACCATCTTTTTTGTATATATACTCTTGGTATTTTCCCCTGCGTTGCAACAGGTATACACAATTAAAACGTTGCCATGACGGTAAATTGGTCTATCGTGAAATTGACCACTACCATAGAAGCTTCAACGGATCTTTGGGGTAGAAAAATCATTAATTCTCAGCCATATTCATTTAGTTCCATATATGTTAATCTCCCCTTCTTTATTAGATCAAATATGTGACGTTGTTATCCCGTTGCAACGCACGGGCAATTACCTAGAGCGCGTGAGCGGGACGATTGAGCAAGGTAGTGTGAACGATCGTTGGAAATGGGCTAGCCTAGTAATATGTGCGGAACATAAAAGCTTCAAGCGAGACTACCATCCGACTCGGATTGTGTGAGATATAGTCCTGACGGTTTTTCGACATATGTAGCAAACACGTACGCTCGTTTTGACTATGTGCGACAAATTGGCAAGCCCACTCTCGCATCACCGCAACCTATATGGCCAATCATCCCCCCCCCCTCCCCCCAATCCCAAATAGAGCGTATTCGGTATTGGGCACA